CCCCCCCCCCCCCCCAAAAAAAAAACCTTTACAAAGTTTAATTAAAAGTCCATAAAAGTTTGTAATTTAAAGTCATACCCTATTAAATCCAAGCCTTACATGCTGGATACTTTGAAACGTTTTTCTTGTTACATAGCTAATTACATGTATTTATAAGTTATCACGGAAATCAGAAGTTAAATGTTGAGCTCTCAGGGACCCAATTTCAAGTTCAGTAGGGATGTAAGGAAGTCTTCTTCAGTAGCCTGTGGGTAAAGAATTATTTTTGTCCGCCTTAGTAGATTTTATGCCCCGCCTGGCCAATATGCAGAACTTAATTAGTCAATTGATGAATTCATGATCGAACTACTGAGAAACACTTTAAGGCCATATCATCCTGTTTGCTCTAAATTGGCTCTACTACAGTGATAACAAGGTCTCTTCGAGCCTCAGATTTGGAGCAACTGGTTCTTACATTGTACATAGACCCTTTGCATAAATGGTGCCAATATTTGAATAACATATACTTATACATCCTAAGCCTCACACTCATGTGAAAAATCCTTTGTCTGGAAACATCAGTACAAGGCTAAGGATGTACAAAGTATTGATATTCAAATTCAGTTGCCATTTATACAAAGAACTACATAATACCATTATGTATCACATAAGCCCTTGAGTTTCCTGGAGTGACAAAAATCTAATTTCTCCCTAACCCTAAGAGAATTGGCCTTACGGCCAGTGACATGTCATGACGTGCGCAGTGAAATGACAGATACAAGTATGGCAAGTAGCATACATCTGAAAGCCACCCCTTTCAAAGACATCAGATATCATTCAAGGGTGGTTTTCACTAGCGCATGCGCAAAAAACATAAGCAGATGCAGTAAAATGCTGATAATTAGCGCCTTTTGTTGGAAATTTCCCAAACAATTATCAGCATCTTACTGTGTCTGCGTATGCCAGCTTATAAGCACATTAATTAGTACTTGACGAAACCATTAAGATTCAGTGCCTTAAACCGTACATGTACTCTGTCCTGCATTTTCTGACTGTTCTGTTTGGTTACTATGCTCCATGCTTTGATGTCTCCACTCAACTCAGGATCCTCTGTGTACTGATTCTCTCTGATGTGTTCTAAAATTTCAGTTTGATTACTCAGTTCACATTCCAGCTGTTCACTCATTCTATTAATATCTGATTGTTCAGTTTGATTTTTAAGCTTGGAATGTTCAACATGTTCACTTAGCTCAGCATCTTTTGTTTGCTCACATGTTCATGTACATGTACATGTAGTTCCCTATGGTTATCATCTTCCATTTATTCAATGTGGCCAGCATTTTCTGCTTGTTCAGCTTGATCACTAGGCTCGGAACATTTTATCACTTCACCCTGTTCAGCATTTCCCATTTGCTTGCTTTTACCATCATTGTCAGCATTTTCCATCGTCTTATGTTGTTCACAATCTTCAGTTGTTTGCATTGATTTGCTTTGCTCACAATGTCCAGTATTTTCTGTTTGCTCATTATGTCCACAATGTTCAGTTGCTTCCTCTTCTTTACTTTGTTCACAACTTCCAGTTGTTTCCATTGGTTCACTTTGCTCACAATGCTCAGTATTTTCTGTTTGCTCATTTTGTCCACAATGTTCAGTTGTTTCCTCTTCTTTGCTTTGTTCAAAATTTTCAGCACTTTCCACTTGCTCATCATTTTCACTTCTTTCTTTTTGCGCACATTGTTCACCATGTTGAGGACTTTCTTTCTGTGGACTCTTGTCAGACTGAACTGTTTCCATTTCCTCTGTTGGTTCAGACTGCTCAGCATCTTCCCCCTTTTTGGTACCTTTCCTTGCTTTTGACCCCTTGCCCTTAATTTTCTTGATGCAATGATCGAGATTCTCATTTTTATCTGCGTGGAGTCGAATATGCTTTTTAAGGGAATGCTGGTGACGGTAGGTTTTCTTGCATACCCAACAAGTATAGGGTCTCTCTCCAGTGTGTATTCGAATATGCTGAATAACATTTTTCTTCATTGAAAAGCACTTCTCACACTGCGGACATTTGTACGGCTTCTCTCCTGTGTGCATCCTGTAGTGTGCTCTTAGCCGCTTCTTGCATCCAAACGCTCTTTCACAGCGATCACACGGAAATGGTTTTTCACCTGTGTGAGTTCTTTCATGGATTTTCAGATCTGAGTTTTGTATAAAACTCCAGCCACACACTTGGCATTTGAATGGTTTCTCCTCAGCATGAGAGTTTTGATGCCTCTTCAAACTTGACAGCCGCGAGAACACTTTATCACATGGAACACACCTGTAAGGTTTTTCATTATTGTGTGTTCTGATGTGCCGGCTGAGACTTGAAGGCCCTGAGAGACACTTTTCACAATGAGGACATTTGAATTTATTTCCAGGTACCAGAGTTCCTTCTTCTTTGTCCTGACCCAAGTTTTCCAACGGTGTCGTGAGATCTTCAACATTATTGTCTGCCTCAGTCATGCTGGCCACAGCTGTACCACCATTAAGGGCAGGCAAAATGTCTTCCCCCGCATCAATAATGCCATTGCCATCTGTATGGTGTGATGTCACAAGCAAAAAATGCTCACTACTCAAGGCTACTTGAATTGTTTGGCATGCAAGAACATCTTCATTGCTGAAAAAGATTTATAAACACACCTTTAAACATTAAATTGTAGTTCCAATATCCAAAAGGGGGAGATGCAGTGGCCTCATGGTTAGTGCACTTGTCCCTGGATCAAGCGGTCTGGGTGTGAGTCCTGGCTGTGGGCATTGTGTTGTATTCTTGGGTACGACACTTTACTCTCACAGTTCCTCTCTCCACCCAGATGTATGAATGGGTACCGGCAAACTTAATGCTGGGGGTAACCCTGTGATGGACTAGCATCCCATCGAGAGGGAATAGAAATAAGAGTTCCTAGTTGCTTCAACTGGCCACTTAGCTTGTATGCAGACTTTACCAGCTACATACATTTTCCTACCAATATCCAAAGTGAACCCAAAAGATCAAAGCTGTACTTTAAATAAAGTTTAAAGGGATAAATAAGAGAATCAGTTAGATTTGAAACAAAACAAGCTATTTGTCTAGACTGATCACTGCTCTTGCTATTTAACGTATTTGTTATGTACCTGCAGTGGACATCTGAATTATCATCTGCCGAAGTTTGATTTTGCTCATCAGGTGTTGCAACTAATCTTTCACTGTCTTCCTTTCTGCTGGCCAGAGAAAAAGAACTCTAAACACTCTCAAAGGTTAGAGCATTTGTATTTAACCAAACAAAAACCCTCAGAATGTACACTATAAGCTGAGGTAGTTTCACGTCACAAGTAAAAAAAAGTATAATTTTTGTATTTTTGTAGTAAACCTGGAAAGTTGGTCCAAGTGACCCCATACTGCTAGAGCATAGAGCGTCCTGGTTCCATAGCATTAAGTATCAAGTATCTCTACCTTTAATTCGATAGGGGAGGGTTAAACCCCAGCATTCAATTATCCAGATCCCACCCAGAAATACACCTGGATGGAGGTGCACTGTGAGAGTAAAGTGCTTTGCCCAAGGGTCACGCAATACAATGACCCTAGTCCAGCATGCAAATAATTAGGTTAAAGCTAATGATCTTAGCCTCAAACACAGTAACAGTGGGCAAGGCTGTCAATAGGTTTTCAGTCACCTGTTGCCTTGATCTGCACACCAGTAACAAAACTGTTACTTAGTGGGCGAATTGTATCAACAAAAGCAATTTCACCTGTAACGTCAAGTGCCTTAGTATCACACATACTTAGATGTAACAAGTGTTACAGGTTACAGCCCTTAATTACAGCTCTGGTGGGGGTGGGCAAGCATTAACTTCTATCCTTGTTAGGGATGTATGTACCGGTAACCAATGTTATATTTTTATATGCCCAGAGAAACAAATTGGGATGGTAATTTGTCTTATCAATGCATTAACAACACTGAGTTACTGCCTTGCAAAGTGGAGGTTGGGTGCCTGGGGTATCCAGGAGCTTCCACTATTGGCAGCCAGCTCCTACATGTAGATGAAGACTGCACCCATGACTGGCAACCCAGCCATGAGCCCCCATGCAGAAGGGAGAAAAGCAGGCACCCATAACACTGATAAAGACAGTGGAAAGAGAAGGGAGGGACAGGGGAGGGGAAACAACCTCTGAGAAGAATCCCCATGCTTGAAACTGTAATGCTCATGGAAAACCCTGACTCAATGCAAAACTACAATGCCTTGTGGCCCAAGAACACATGGAGTCCTGGCTCATGCACAGATATAAATGCCGCTGACCGCAAAGGCAAGAATTGCGCTCCTTGTTGTTAACTTCTGTTAAATTGCATTTACTGCATTATAATATATGCTTTGCTATCAATTTCTGCTCCTTTCAGCTACACTGTACTCATTTACCAACAAAGGATGTGGCCAATCACAGTGAACTCCAACTTAGAATTTCACAATAGAGTCAAATCAAGAATTGGACAGTCTCGTGTCTGGAACAAATTTTGAACTGTACCTGCTTGAGGAAACAGACTTCCTTTGCGTCACTTTCGTTTTGTTTTTCTTGCGAGGCCAGGCACTTGACTGGTCACTGAGCGCCTTGTCACTAAAAGCAAAGGCAATAATTAAAAATATGCCATCCATTTAATTATNAGTGTAACGCAAGCGACGTGATAAGCAGACATCAAATTACTTGATCACCACATGTCGAGATAAAGTGAAGTGAACTTGTCTCATCCTGTTTACACGAGGAAATTCCTGTTTAGGGTTGGGTGGTTTCTGTCGATAAAAAGCTGTAAAAAGTTTGTTATGTTTGTATATAATGAAGATTCATGCAAGCTTATTAAAATTCTAACATGGCCCGAGGTTTACGGGGCCACGGGAAAATTCAGACAATTTTGCTAATGCAAATATTACCTAGTGCCATTCCCTTGTGGGGGCAAGAAGTGGTCACTCAGCCAGAAATGGCCTCATTAATTCATTAAATAGATTAAACTTTGTCCCCACAAGGGACTGGAGCTAAGTTTCCAAAGCATACTAGAATTTTGATTATGATAATATTGAGGGTGTTAAAGGGTATTTTCATGATTTGTGAATGGCCTATTTTTTTCCTCGTGAAATGTGAAATGGCTTGTTTTTTTTCTCGTGAATCATGATTTCATTAGAAGCTGTGAACTATGATTTTCCAAAATAATTCTCCGTGAAATGAGAAAGAAGTATTTAATTCTTCATGAACCGTGATTCTGGTTTAGTCTTCTATTATTTTCAACAGTTATTAACAAATTATATTGCATGACCTAGACAGGACAATCATCCCTCTTCGTGTTCTTGCTCGGATTTCTTTTTGCTGCGCACAGAGCAAGGAGCAGACGGATGATAAAGACATTTAACAACACTGTGCTTTAGCTGTAACTTTTCAAATATTATAAGTTACGTAAAGGTGTAAAAAAATGCCATATTTGTTTTTCATGAAATGTGAAATGCCAATTCTATTTCCTGTGAATTGTGAAAGGACCAATTTATTTTCCATGAAACATGATCTTGACCCCTCCTTTACCACCCTCAATACTGGCTAATTAACCTTCATGTACTTTTAGGGTGCACTATTTAAACAATAGTGTTTCTGTCGAGGAACTATTGGCTGATAGTTGCCCCACAGAAATTTGACAACATCAGACTGGAGTAAACTGAAAGAGTTAAATGCTTCGTTTAGCAGTCCCTGTTCTATAGACATCCACTTGAAACGGACACCCCACTTATTGTGGGCAGTTTTATGCTTGCAAAAAGATGGTATATTTTCAGGATAGTCATAAGGTTTTCAGTCACCTGTTGCCTTGACCTTCACATCGGCAACGCATATGTTGCAATGTTGACAAATTCATTCATAATATCCAGGGCCCATCAAACATACTCAGGCCTAACAGGTGCTCTGAGCAATGGCCCTAACATAATGACTGCACTGTATTTTCTGTTGTTTTAACTTGCTCAGTAGATCGTTTTTACGTGATGTCATCACTTTCGAAAAACCAAAACTAAAGAACCACCAAATTTTTTATCCTCATCAGGCATAAGAGGTGGTATATTTATATCTGTTTCCAATTTTACAGCTCAATAGCGTGCTTCGTTTGGAATCCAGAGCATTTTGAATTTCAGGGTTATGGAGGTGTGTGACACAAGGCTACGATCGAGTTTGTCGAAAAATATATGCTTATCTCATGATTTTGAGCCTTTTTAGAAGTTAGAGCATTATGAAAAGTGCTTATGTAAATGCTTTTTTGATCAGTACTGATAATCAGTCGCCTANCATTTTCATACTGGGCTCTGCAAATATCTGCGCAACATTTCGACGAATATCTGAAGTTTGGGGAAACGCACAGGCCTAAAACTTGGAGAAGTGTGTTATTTAGTTATCTTCTATAACATCGTAAGTTCATAGCTTTTTCCACTGGATGGTTTTCGATTTATTTTTTTATTGCGTGACGGTGAAAACGATCTATACAGTCAGTGGTTAAAATCGAGAATGGAACCTGACAACAATGCCTATTCTAAATATAAGAGCAAATAACGTCTAAATACTTTCAGGTTAAGACCGAGAAGGAGTAACATATCTATTTTTTAATTATTTTTGTGAAATTATTTTTGTGTCTTCCTTAATCCATTTAGGTTGCAGAGCAAAAGGAACGCAATGAAGACGCTGGCCAGTATACTGAATTAGTGAGAGACTTCTTAAACCCCAAAGACTTCTACAATGCCTTGTGCAGTCATGGAATGGATTATTTCTGCGGCGTCCCAGACTCTCTGCTTAAAGACTTTTGTGCGTATGTGACATCAGTTACTCCCAAGTCACGACATGTTATTACATCCAACGAAGGGCAGGCCATTGCTCTTGCAGCTGGTTATCATATGGCTACAGGGAGAGCTGGAGTTGTATATCTTCAGGTTAGTGTTTTGGGTTTTACAACCCTTACATGTGCATGTAAACTTCTTAAGGCTGGAGTATAAAATGGTGTGGTATGTATTGTAATGAGCCGGGGGGATATAAAAACGACAGGGGTGCTCGTTGTACCTTTTAGGGGTTAAAAAAGCAGTTTTGCTACCTCTAAGAATGTTCNCAGCAGAAACCTGATTCTTGGCGAGGTTGTTTATATAGCAATCATCTATCATATCCTAGATTCTTGAATTGATTTATTGAATGGTTACGATTTTTAGTTTTGATCACATGACTGGTGAAAACCAAGAATATAAATATATTTCAAATAAATCTCATGTTGAAATTAGTTGATTTTGTTTTGACCCTCACTTCTTTAAAAATTTAAAAATTACACAGTAATATTTTAAATAAAAATTATTAATAGTAATGCTTGCTGAATTTTCTTTGTTTCCTCTAGAACTCCGGATTAGGTAACATTGTGAACCCTCTGATGTCACTAGCTGTTCCAAATGTGTACAGCATACCCATGTTGTTGTTAGTTGGGTGGAGAGGTGAGCCAGGAAAAAGAGACGAGCCCCAGCACATGATACAGGGACAGGCCACACCTGGAATACTTGGTATGCGCATGTCTACTCTATACATGACTACAGACTTGTGTTGTTGCAAAAAAAATAGCCATACCCCTCCCTCAGAAGGTTTTTTTTGGTTTGACCTCCCCTACCCAACCCCAATTACCACCACCAGTTTTATCTGTTTAACTTCATATCCTGACCAAGAGAAAATCAATCAGAATGCTTGGATTTAACCAAAGAGTACATTGCTATATAACATTAGAAGTGATTTGTCTACCAAGTCTTTAAGAGTATATGTAGTGCAAAAAGTTGTCCAAACTTGTCAGGGCCTACAGTAAAAACACATTTACCAGTCTTTTCATGTAGTTTTTTTTCACAATTTTGCAAGTTCAGGCATATGCAATATTTTACAAACTGGTTAAGTTATTATGGCATGGACTGCAAAATATGTTTACTTAACTCAGGACAATTTGGCTTACTAGACTCCCAAGACTGGCATTTAACAGAGGCCAAAATGTCATTTAATGGGTAATACCTACGTAAAATGTAATTGATGTTTGTTTGTTTGTTTGTTTGTTTGTTTGTTTGTTTTCTGGTTAATAAGGTTTTTTTTGCATTCCATTCTCCAGCATCATGTGGAATTCCTTTTCAAGTTTTGCCTGATTACCAAGAAGGAGCTGAACAGGTAAGGCAACATATTTCTGTTTAAATATGTAAGTTTGCGGGTTTACATGTTTGTAATGTTTCAAACCAATTAAATGAAATGGCACTTACCATTAACAATTCATTTCCAAACAAAAACCAGCCCAAAAAAACTGCATACCAATATGCTTGTTTATAGAGGACCACATGTAGTTAACTTCTGGCACTTTTGAGAAAAAAAAAACCCAAATTTTCCTCTTGGAGTAATTTTTCACCAATCCTTCATTTTAGGTTAATCATCATTTGAACCATTTCTCTTCAGGCTTTGTATGTGGCTAGGAAACATATGGAAACAACAAAAGGACCATACTGTTTACTTGTGAGAAGACAGAACTTCTTACCATTCAAGCTTGAAAAAGAACCAGACATGTGAGTAAATGTGATGTTAATGTACATTTTCAATTACTTAATATCTAATTTCCATTTGCTGTCACATCTGATAGAATTCTCTAAAATTGAGAGGATCAGGGATGGCGCAGTGGTGAGAGAGCTCGCCTCCCTCTTAGGCGGCCCAGGTTCGATTCTGGCCCGGTGCCATATGTTGGTTGAGTTTGTTGTTGGTTCTCGCCTTGCTCCATAGGTTTTTCAAAGAAATTCTTATCAGTTTATTTTATAATCTCTTTGTTAGGTATCCACTGAACAGAGAAGGAGCACTAAAAGTGATTGTTGATGCTCTGAAAGACCGTGATGTGGTGGTTGGTACCACTGGTATGTTGTCGCGTGAACTCTTTGAATACCGCGTGGCCAAAGGTCATGGTCATGAAAAGGATTTCTTGACAGTGGGATCTATGGGTCATGCGTCAGCCATTGCTCTTGGTATCGCTCAATTTAGACCCAAAAGACAGGTACTGGCAATATTATTAATACCTGCACTAGTAGACTGTAACTACAGTTGTATTAGTATAGGTAATCATACGGTTTCGAGTTCAATTTGGAATTAATTTGCACGAATGAGTTTTTCAAAAAGTTGAAATTGCACGAGCTGCTTCGGTGAGTGCAATTTCAGCTTTTTGAAAAACTCACAAGTGCAAATTTACTCCAAATTGAACGAGAAAAACCGTATGATTACTAATTAATAATATAAACATGAAAAAATTCGTGCGGAGGAAGTGCCAAAAGATCATTCTTGAAGCCATTTTTTCTCATTTGAGAAAACTTTTTTCAAAGTTTCAGCACAAAATTTTTCGTCGTCATTTTATGTCATATAATTTTCTTAGAAATGTTCCTATTGTCTTTCAGTCAATCATAATCCAGAATTATGATGTGTAATTTGCACTGGTGTTACACTTGAACTGCACTGCTCTTAGCCAATCAGAATCGAGTAATTTTTTCATGTGTATTATTAGTGATTTTACGACGTGCGGGTCAATAGTTACTGCACAATAATAATTACTAGATTCC